TGGTGGCCACGCCCACTACCACGCCCAGTATTTTATAATAATAATAATAAATTGGTCATTTAGCAGACGCTCTTATCCAGAGCGACTTACAGGAGCAATTAGGGTTAAGTGCCTTGCTCAGGGGCACATCGACAGATTTTTCACCTAGTCGGCTCGGGGATTAGAACCAGCGACCTTTCGGTTACTGGCACAACGCTCTTAACCACTAAGCTACCCTGCCGCCCACCTACTAGCTTTAGTGAATTGTTGTTGCGCTTTAGATTTAAGTTGTTTCGTGTCGGGTTTGTGCTTTCAGCTGTTTCTGTGTCTTTTCTCAGACATGGGCAATAAATTGTCAGATACAGGTTTTTGAACTTAGTGCTGCTTAAGCAGTACACAATTGGGTCCACTAGACAATCCATGTGGGAAAAAACGATGAGACCATCATAGACCTGAACAGCTATACTCTCAGCATTCTCTAAATCCATGGCTCTGACAATCAACAGAACAATTCTAGCCATGGTGCAAGGCAGGAAACAAAAAGAGAAGACCAGCATGACAGAGGTGACCAGAAACACTGCTCGGCGCAGTTTAGTCCTATCCCCTACGGTCTTCTTTTTCAGTCTGTTGACAATGCGGACCGTGCAGTAGACCAACACAAAGAAAGGGATGAGAATCTGGGTGAAAAACACAACCTCTCTCAGAGTGTCAGTGACGTCCCCTTGACTGCTACAGCAGCCGGTCTTCAGCATGGTGGGGATAGTCAGGGGCAGAAGTAGTAGCCAGATGATGACAGAGATATGAAGGGACTTTTTGAGGACTACGTTCTTTTTCCCAGGATGAACCACGTTAAAGTAGCGATCGAGTGAAATCACGGCCAGGAAGGCGATACTGGCACCTCGGTTCAGAAACAGCATGAAGAGCATGGCTTTGCAGATCTTCCCATCCGTACTCTGCCGCTCTCCGTGAAGAAAATTGTACGCGTTCACTGGCAAACAGCCTAGCAGAAGAAGGTCAGCCAAGACGAGATTGAACAGGAAAAGGTTGTTGGAGTTCGATTTCCAGAACTTCAGCTTGAAGATAAAGAGATAAAGTACCGAGAGGTTGAGCGGAAGAGCCAGGGTGAATTCCAAAATCATCACAGAGGCGTAAAATCTGTACAGGGGCAGACTTTCTGCTGTGCAGTTATCGTTCAGAAGATCCTCTTCCATAATATGAACTGTCAGAAGCTGTACCCTTTACAGTCAGAAAACGTCTGATCCGGTCCGAATCCTTAACAAGAAGGGAAAAGCAGTCCTCAACTCCAAATGAGTGTGTTCAAGGGAAGGGAAGCAAGCTTCTATTCCGTGTGCAGACTTGGTGAAACTGAAGGACTGTACTTTAGTCTGGAACTATTTCCCCCCCAAGCAGCAGTTGTAAATTGTTCAGACTTGTTGGTTGAGCACCTTCCATTCCTGAGTAGGCGAGTCACCACAGGATGAATAGATAAGCAGCTGGTCCCACGAGGGATTGACATTGCATCAACTCACACACAAAACATTTCTTTCCCATATTTGTCATCTCATCTGTGTATGAGTGACCCTTTTCCTGTGCTACATATTTCCTTGTTACTCCCTGCTGAATTCCTACAGTTGAAGTCGGAAGTTTACATACACCTTAACCAAATACATTTAAACTCAGTTTTTCACAATTCCTGACATTTAATCCTAGTAAAACTTCCCTGTTTTAGGTCAGTTAGGATCACCATTTTATTTTAAGAATGTGAAATGTCAGAATAATAGTAGAGAGAATGATTTATTTCAGCTTTATTTCTTTCATCACATTCCCAGTGGGTCAGAAGTTTACATACACTCAATTAGTATTTGGTAGCATTGCCTTTAAATTGTTTAACTTGAGTCAAACGTTTTGGGTAGCCTTCTACAAGCTTCCCACAATAAGTTGGATGAATTTTGGCCCATTCCTCCTGACAGAGCTGGTGTAACTGAGTCAGGTTTGTAGGCCTCCTTGCTCGCACACGCTTTTTCAGTTCTGCCCACATATTTTCTATAGGCTTGAGGTCAGGGCTTTGTGATGGCCACTCCAATACCTTGACTTTGTTGTCCTTAAGCCATTTTGCCACATCTTTGGAAGTATGCTTGGGGTCATTGTCCATTTGGAAGACCCATTTGCGACCAAGCTTTAACTTCCTGACTGATGTCTTGAGATGTTGCTTCAATATATCCACATAATTTTCCTTCCTCGTGATGCCATCTATTTTGTGAAGTGCACCAGTCCCTCCTGCTGCAAAGCACCCCCACAGCATGATGCTGCCACCCCCGTGCTTCACGGTTGGGATGGTGTTCTTCGGCTTGCAAGCTCCCCCTTTTTCCTCCAAACATAATGATGGTCATTATGGCCAAACAGTTCTATTTTTGTTTAATCAGACCAGAGGACATTTCTCCAAAAAGTACGATCTTTGTCCCCATGTGCAGTTGCAAACCGTAGTCTGGCTTTTTTATGGCGGTTTTGGAGCAGTGGCTTCTTCCTTGCTGAGCGGCCTTTCAGGTTATGTGGATATAGGACTCGTTTTACTGTGGATACAGATACTTTTGTACCTGTTTCCTCCAGCATTTTCACATGGTCCTTTGCTGTTGTTCTGGGATTGATTTGCACTTTTCGCACACCAAACTACGTTCATCTCTAGGAGACAGAATGCGTCTCCTTCCTGAGCGGTATGACGGTTGCGGGGTCCCATGCCGTTTATACTTGCGTACTATTGTTTGTACAGATGAACGAGGTACCTTCAGGCGTTTGGAAATAGCTCCCAAAGATGAACCAGACTTGTGGAGGTCAACAATTTTTTTTCTGAGGTATTGGCTGATTTCTTTTGATTTTCCCATGATGTCAAGCAAAAAGGCACTGAGTTTGAAGCTAGGCTTAGAAATACATCCACAGGTACACCTCCAATTGACTCAAATGATGTCAATTAGCCTATCAGAAGCTTCTAAAGCCATGACATCCTTTTCTGGAATTTTCCAAGCTGTTTAAAGGCACAGTCAACTTAGTGTATGTAAACTTCTGACCCACTGGAATTGTGATAAAGTGAATTATAAGTGAAATAATCTGTCTGTAAACAATTGTTGGAAAAATTACTTGTGTCATGCACAAAGTAGATGTCCTAACCGACTTGCCAAAACTATAGTTTGTTAACAATAAATTTGTGGAGTGGTTGAAAAACGAGTTTGAATGACTCCAACCTAAGTGGACGTAAACTTCAGAGTAAGCCTAAGGCAGTGCAGCGGTGTGCTTCCGGTTCCAAAACACATTCGTGGGAAGGAAAATGTAGTTTGATTGATTAAACACACAGACAGCTACAATGTGAAGATACTGACAGTTCTTAGCTGGAAGTCGTAGAATAACTCAGATGAGCAGGAAATGTGTATTTATTTATGTTCTGTTGTTTGTTTACCTCCCAGGGCTCCGCTGTGGTCCAGACTCCTCCTCTTCAGGGCCCGTGTGGTGAGCATCAGAGGAACCAGAATGGAGAACAACCATCGCCACGGGGACACCGGCTGGAGAGTGCCTGTAATGACAGATGGTCCAGGACTCAGCTATACACACACACACATACACAAACATCACCAGTCATAGCTACTTGTTTTCATGGGATTTAATTAGGTTATAGGTGTAGCTAATAATCAGTGTTTCATCAAGCAGTGTTTCATCCTCTTTAACAAACGTCTTCTACTGAAACCATCTCTCCTTGTGTCCATTCTCTTTTAGGCAGGGGGCAACAGAGCTAGGCAGGGGGGGCAACAGAGCTAGGCTAGGCAGGGGGGGCAACAGAGCTAGGCAGGGGGGGGGGGCAACAGAGCTAGGCAGGGGGGGGCAACAGAGCTAGGCAGGGGGGGGCAACAGAGCTAGGCAGGGGGGGGCAACAGAGCTAGGCAGGGGGGTGGCAACAGAGCTAGGCAGGGGGGGGGCAACAGAGCTAGGCAGGGGGGTGGCAACAGAGCTAGGCGGGGGGGGGGGGGGGGGGGGGGGGGGGGGGGGGGGGGGGGGGGGGCAACAGAGCTAGGCAGGGGGGCCCACCTTGCTTATATAGTGTTGAGAGAAAGTTTACACCCTTTAGCATTTTCTCTATTTCTGCAACAAAACATGTTCTCCCCTGTTATTGGTAATGGTGAGAGCATGTAAGCATGTTTTGTTGCAGCCTCTGTAAGCTTCTCACTCATCCTTATTCATGATTCATTCCTGTTTTTTCTTAATCATGGCACTATCAGGATTACTTTAGAAGTGTTCAGAAACATATTCTACTCTTACTTAGAATAAAAGTGACTCCAAAATGGCACAAGACATTATTCACCATTCAGTTCCGGTTGGGCAAAACATAACCCAAAACTGCAAATGCATCCAAGGAATTTGTAGAGTTACAAGGTTGATGCAAGGAATATGGGACTGAATATTAAACTTTTGACTACTTTAATCCACTTTGAGCTCATTAATCTAGAGGTTCACATACTTTTTCCCACAAAGAAATGTAATGTTGGATCAATTTTCTCAATAAAGAAATTCAAAAGTACAATTGTTTTTGTGTATTGTTTTTGTGTAAAGGGTTAACAAACGTTATATAACCAACAATGGTAGGGAAAGCACTGGACATAACGGACAAGGTGTGTGTGTGTGTGTGCATGTGCACGCACGCGTGTCTTACCATAGTATGTGCTGGCTGTGATGGAAATGATCCAGAAGGAGAGAGAGATGGCCAAGGTGGCACACAACACGATCATATCAGTCATCATCTTGACGTATTCGTTCATTTGTATCTCATCCTCAAAAATCATTGTGGAAGAAGGGAATAGAACCTGTGGAAGTCATCGACATTACCTTAGGCACTTGCTTAGTTATATGACGCATGGCTTACACAGGACAGTTAGTAACCTGGTCTAAGGTCTGTTTGTGACGTCTCGCCGTTGACACACCAGGTAGAACTGGGAGTAGGCTAGCATGGGAAGCCGCTGGTGGGCTTTATGGATCTCCATCGTAAACCCACTAACAGCTGCCCAGGCTAGGACCAGGCTATTAGTAGTAGCTAGCTATGTAAATGTCGTGTAAAATCAACACTCATAAAAACGTAAGACTGACCGGACAGCGCCATACGTCGCTACCCAACTGGCTAGCTAGATGTCTACTGATGTGGAACTAGCAGCTAGCTAGCAAGCTAATACATTGGAAGGTGGGCTAAAGAAACGAGTGTAAAGGTTGCACCTGAAGTAGCCGAAGCCATGGCTTGTGTATCCTGCTTCTTCCATTGTGGGGAAGTGCCAATACAACTAGCTGATGTAACTTGTCGCTATAAGATAACTTAGCGAGATGCGACGATTCACAGCTGTCAAAATACTGGAGCGTAGTAAGATTTCAAATCAACGGATTCGTTGTTCTTCTTCTGTGGATTTTTTATGGCGGTTGGCAACCAACTTTAAGGTGCATTACCGCCACCACCTGGACTGGAGTGTGAACCAGAGAACGGGAAGGTCTACCTCCTACCCAATATTCTCGTCTCCCTAAGAAAACGAAATACATAATTAAATACTACATTCCCTGATGATTTCACCAGCAGTTCACTTTCATTGTCGACTGAGAGCAGGATGTGGATTTAAAGAAATACATGCGTACTTCCGCTGATCTGTCAGATAGCAATTAAAGCTTCAGTGGTCATATTTCTCAAAAAATAAATTATTCACCAAACATAAGACCATAAATAAGTTTGAGTATTAAATCCATAATCAAATATATTATTCACTATTTATGTGATTTTCATCACTATTAGGATATCCATATGGACCGAGCAAAAGATACTGTATAATATATTTGATTATGCATTTAATACTCAAACTTACTTATGGATTTATGTTTGGTGAATAATTTGGTGAATAATATTACTTACTTACATTTAAGCATCATGAATTCCAGGGGCCTCATTTATCAACCATGCGGGGGGCCAGTATGAAAATGTATGCACTCACTACTGTAAGTCGCTCTGGATAAGAGCGTCTGCTAAATGACTAAAATGTAAATGTTTAGGCACAAATCTGTGCATTAACCATGCGTGGGCACATTGCCAAGTGGTGGAATAAGGGAACTGCTTGTCAAGCATGGGGAAAATATATGTTGAAAATGTGTGAAATTGTTAGAGTAATAATTAAATCATTTTCCGATTGAATTGTATTTCCATTGTGAATTCATGCAACACATTTTGACAGGCTATATATAATTTGACCACATCAGTGCATTAGTTATGATAATAATCCATATAAAGTACAGTTAAATTAGTTAAATTAGTTAAATTTAATTAAATCAGTTAAATTAGTTAAATTAGGGGCAGGTGTTAAAGTTAAACCATTGTAGAAATACTATAAAAGACTGAGATAATGGAAATCAAATGAGAGATGGCTGATCATAGCTGTTAGAAGATCTGGCACGCGCTGCCTTTCGCGGAGTGCGTTTTTAGAGACCGGTGATACTTTTTTCCAGAAGGTACAGCTTGGCTCATCAGATATCGTTTCCAAAACCAATCCTATAGGATATTTTCCTTTCGAGGAGTTAAGACCTACTTTAGAAAGGCAAACAGAAGCCATTCCAGTGCACGTTAAAGTGCTATCCACCGTCAGGTTTTCGGCAATGGGCACTTTTCAGCGGGAGCTTGCGGATTGGCATCTCACATCCCTCGATGAGCCAATGTTTTGGATGCAATCATCAGCAAAACGAACTGTAACATACAATTTCCATACACCATCGCACAACAGGTTGAAATCAAGGGGTTTATTTGCCATCAATGGGTTCCCAAATACGAACGGAGCAATAGACTGCCCCCACATCGCCATAAAAGCTCCATCCCAAAACAAGTTAAACTATGTGAACGGAAAAGGCTTCAACTCTTAATGTGCAGGCGACAGCTTATATGATGAGCAAAAGACGCTGCTGAATGTGGTGGCAAGGTGGAAAGCACGACTCATTCATTCTGCAGAAAAGCAATGTTGACCTATACGCCTACAGGAGAGAGCTGTTGAGGATGGGCGGCTACTCATTTGAAGTAAATTTGCCATTGCTAAAGCAACTTCAATTGTCCTAATGGTCCTCTCTTTGTAGCTATGTTTTTATTTTTACTGGTCAAACCACAACTGAGCGAACCAAATATAATATTTTGGTTGTACTCAGTCTCTGACACTAGCACCATGCAGTCTTTTTTGGGTTGTGCGGTTGTAGGCTATTTCATGGTATGGCGTTGTATATTCCCATGGGTTTTAAAGGAATGATTTTCACCATGTATGGTTAATTATATGCGTTTCGAAATGCAAATAGCCAAGTTCGTGCACGAGCGCCGAGGCTGAAAACATTTGGTATTTATCAACGGTGTGCGTCTGACGCACGTAGGATTGTTTAATAAATCACACGTTTTCTATGCGTAGGAGCATTCTACATTCCGTTGGTAAAGTAGTATTTTAGAATAGTTTCTAGCAATATTGATAAATGAGGCCCCTGCCATTTTATAAAGACTGTAAGCCAGGCATGTTTTATTATAGTAGCTAGTGTAGAACATGGAGACGTGTGAATCTCACTCCTTAGCCTAGGTATCCCGCTTGCGTCGCCTCATTAGCTACCTTTTGAGGTAACGCCTCAAGACGCTTAAGGGAGGACGGTCATGTGTGCTACCAAGGCAGAGGTCCCGAGTTCACGCCAGGTATGGGCCGAATCGGGAGGAAGTGGCAAGCAACGTGACATCCTTTACACTTAGATGTTTAATATTCTTACGTACAATTAATTCACCTGTGTGTGTGTCCATATTAAAAGTAGTCATTAGCAGGCATTGGCTATTACTGCAATCTCATAAAACTATCATCTTTCAGTTCCAGGGAGTGGAGTGGTCCTCTGTTAAAATACAAGCTAAACATAACACTCTTTCTTTACTAACTAACTCACCACCAATAGTTTACCCTCAAAGTACAATAGTGTACACTATACAGCATAATGGTTAAAAGCCCTTGTCACCTACCCAAATGTAACGAAGTTGTCTGCTGGTCGAAATTCCTCTATCACTAGGTTCTGAAATCAAACAGTCATGATGACTTTTTTTTAAAAGCGGATTTGGATTCATACTGAATCAAAAAGCATGTCAAATAATGTGTAGTATCAGGTGATATCAAGAAGTCCCTGCCACTGACTGAGGACTCTTTGACTGAGCCCTGTAATACCAGGAAAACAGCTTCACAGTTATGTGTTGTTTCCAACGGTTCCAACCACACGGACATTATCTCAGAAATACGCCATCAGTGGGTAATGTAGTTCAAATAATTCTTAGTTTTTGCCTTCTAGGAAGACGAACTGAAAGACATACATTATATTTATATACATTCATACAGGGTTCAGACTGTATCTACGTCAGAGTAATAACCACATCTGTACTGAGGGTGAAATTCCTGCAGCATCCCGTAGCATTAATTAAGGAATAGGCCTATCAGAGTCGCAAAAGCCCCCAATGAAGCCCCAGGCCGGACCGAGCCTAATTAAGGAATAGGCGTATCAGAGTTGCAAAACCCCCGATAAACCCCCAGGCTGGACCGAGACTAATTAAGGAATAGGCCTATCAGAGTTGCAAAAACCCCCGATAAAGCCCCAGGCTGATCTCTTTATTTCAGGAGTAGAACAGGATACATGTAGTTACAATATCTGTCCAGTAGAGGGGGACCTCACCCCACTAATTTTTCTTTTTAAATCGTCAATCCATGATCAATGAATCTGCTCAATCCAGATTTCCATCCAGAGGACACCACGGTTATAGTAGGCATGATAACCAATAACGACGAGTCAGCCTATAGGGAGGAGGTAAGTGAACTGGCATTGTGGACAACAATCTCTCCCTCAATGTCAACAAAACAAAATAGTTGATTGTTGACTACAGGAAGCAGAGGGATCATGCCCCAATCCACATCACGAAAATCCATTTGAATACAATCACTTTTTGACAGCACCCCTTTTGATTTGAACAAAACCTTCCATACATATTTGCCCATTGTAGAAGTGCTCAGAAAGTGACATTTTGGACCTGAATGCCAAAACATTCAAGAGATTAAAGTGCTCAAAGTAAAAAAAAATGTTGCATACCCCACCATACCATGAGACAGCCATGTCTTCATGAGTGGAAAAGAAGAGTCAGAGCAGGTGGTCAGTTCAGTTCAAGTGTTCACCAGTCTGAAGGCTTGTAGATAGAAACTGTCTCTGAGCCTGTTGGTATCATACCTCATGCTCCGAGACCAGTCTGCCCGACGGTAAGGGAGAGAACAGCTCGTGGCTGGGGTGTGTAGGGTCCTTGATGATGATGCGGGCCTTCCTCAGGCATCGTTTCTAGTAGATGTCCTGGATGGGTGGGAGCACGGTCCCAGTGATGTACTGGGCCATCTTCACCACCCGCTGGAGGGCCTTGCAGGCCGTGGACGGAGGAATTCCCGTAACAGGCCGTTATGCAACCTGTCAGGGCGCTCCCGATGGTGCAGTAGTAGTTTTTGGAGAGGACCTGGGTGGCATGCCGAATTTCTTCAGCTGCCTTAGGAAGTAGAGACACCGTTGCGTCCTCTTGACGCATCACTTGTCTCAGTGCTGCTGTGCTGTGCTGTTTGTTGCTGCTTGGCTACCTGCCAAATTTGACGGTTGAAACTTTTTAAAAACCGTTTAATCAATCTTCATTCAACACATTTTACCAACGTCTTAGTTATTTTTATTTATTTTTTTCCTCGCTTGACTTTTTTCATTCAACCTTTTCACCCCGGACTCTTTATCTGGACATTGGTTCTACAGGACCTCCACCAGCCGAAGCTAAGTAGTAATATTAACACTATGCCATCTAATTGCAGTCGCTGTCCTCATAATATACAGGAGAACTATCGCCTTATGGTGAGGATAGCCGTGCTGCAAGCCCAGCTTCAGATGCAATCGTTAGGCAAGGGCAATGTAAGTGTAGGAAAGGATGAAACAGCGTCTGTGCCAC